GGAAGCCTTAAATGCTAAGCCTGAAACCCACTACCTACTATGGACTGCTAAGGAGAACAAACAGGTTCATCCTGGAGAGGGTGAGATCAGGCTGCCCCTTGGAGGCAAGGACTCTAAAACTTTGTCTGGCATACTTTGGACATGTTTGCAGAGAGACCAGTCCTTAGAGAGGGACATCATGCTTGAAGGGTGGAGGGACAGTGCAAGAGATGAAGACCCTCAATGAAATGGATTGATTCAGTCACTGGGGCAATGGGGGTAGGTATGTCAGAGACAATAAGTTTGGCACAGGATAGAGCAGGGTTTAGGGCTCTTGTCCGTAGGGTTGCTGTGAGTCGCAGGCAACTTGATGGCACATACAACAACAATAACACATAGTAGATCTATAAACTTTGGGTCCCTTTCAAATAAGCATACCCCACACACTTGACTAGTGCTTAATCCTAAGGGACAAAGCCTCAATTGACAGATGAGAATGATATGTAAGTAGCACAGACACTGTTTTATGTTTCACCTTGCTCAATATTGATTTGTTTTAAAAAAATTTTATTTATAAAGGGCACAAAAATAAAACAGCCTGAATTCTGCAGGATGTATCCCAAGTTCTGAATTAATAAGGCCCAAATTTATGAGGTTTCTGGATTGTGCCTCTTTTTCTCCATCTTCTTTTGTTATGGGGTTGGGAGAAAGTGGCTGTGTTACCCAACAAGGATGTTGACTTTCCCCTGGGCCTACAGTGCCCCCCCTCCGCACCCCATTCTCCCCACTTCTTGTCATCTGATGAAGATGGTTTCTCCAGGCACTCAGGTCCAGTTTCTGGAGCAGTGGCATGGCTTGGGATGTGGGCAGAGCCTCTTAGTTCAGCTCTAATAAGTCTATTCTATAAAATTATGGGTTGTGACATAGTATTTTATGGAAAGAGAGTTCCTCATGCAAAGCTGTGTTCCCTGTGGAAGTAAGTGCTTCACTCCATCAGGCAGTGGCTGTGGCAAAAATTCTCTGATGTCACTGATGCACCAGGACAGTATGTCTCAAGGCATGATCCCCAGACCTGCAGCATCAGCATCTCCTGAGACCTGGAGGTCTCCCCTGAGACATTAAAAAGGGAGGATCTTGAACTGCATTCTGAACTTGCTGCATCAGAAATGCCAGAAGTGGGGCCTGGCAACCTGCATTTAACAAACCGTCCTTGGCTCTTGATGTGTTTGAGAGCTGTCGATCTAGGAGGTTAAGGAAGGGTCTGGGTTTCCAGCCCTCCTCTCCAGAGGAAGAAAGAGGTTAAGAGAACACACTAAATCACAACGAGGCGGCTGGCTCTTCGATTGGTTGTTACTATTTTGGGTACCATCAGGTCAGCTCCAGCTCCTTGTGACCCTGTATCCACCAGAAGGAAGCAGTGCCTGATCCTGCACCATCCCCCCAACCTCTGTTGTGCTCCAGCCCATTCTTGCAGTCACTGTGTCAGTTCAGCTCTTTGAAGGTGTTGTTCTCTATGAAGACTCTCTCCTTCTCCAACCATAGTGTTCTCCAGGGTGTGACCCCTCCTGATAACATTTCCAAAGTATATAAGACAGAGGCTCGCCATCCTTGCGCCTTAAGGAGCACTCCGGCTGTACTTCTTCCAGGACAGATCACTTGTTCTTTGGCATCAGTGCTGGGATATTCAGTACTACTCACCAACACCACAATTCAAATTCAAAGGCACCACATTCTTGCTCAGTCTTCTTTAGTCATTGTCCAGCTTTCACATGCATATGAAACAATTGAAAAGACTATGGTTTGGATCAGGTACACCTTAGTCTTTAAAGTGACATCCTTCCTCATTAGTTCTTTAAAGAGATTTTTAGCAGATTTCCCCTTTGCAAAACATTGCTTAATTTCTTGACTTATTCCCTGAGTGCAGACTCAAATAGAATGAAATAATTGAGAATTTCAGTCTTTTGTTATCTTTTTTTTATTGGTCCCATTGTGAGGATTTTTATTTTCTTGATGCTGAGGTATAATCCATACTGAAGGCTTTGAAATTTGAGCCCAATAAATGTTTATTGATCTTTCCTCAGCTAGTTTCTCTAGCCCTCTAGGGCAGACAAACCAGCAACCAGTAGTCATTGAGCTGATTCCAGCTCATGGTGATCCTGCTTATGGGAGAGCAAAATTGTGTTCCTCAGGAATCCCAATGGCAGGCTTTTCAGAAGTGGATTGCCAGGGCTTTCTTCCAAGGTACCTCTGGGAGGACTCATACTTTCAGTGAGCACCTAGATGTGTTAGCCATTTGTGGTTCTCGGCAACTTGTACTCTGAAACAATGGCTTTTGTAGCTGATGGCACATCAGAGAAACTTTGAAAAATGTCCCATACTGTACCTGAACCCTAACAAACTGTATTGGAATCCCTGGAGTTTGGATGTGGGCATCCATAGCTTTAGAACTCTCCAGAGGGCTCCAGCTTGCACCTAGAATTGAGATCTACTGATTTTGAAGGGTACCTTTTGGAGGAAGAACATTTATTTCTGTTTCCTCTCATTGATCTTAAAATATTTCTATAGAAATTTATTTTACCTATTTCCTGGGTGGTATAAACAGTTTGTGCTTGACTAAAACTCAAAGGGTTTTAATGCACCCAGCAGTGCTGTGGAAGTAAGGCCTGGCAGCCTGCTTCTGTAAAGATTACAGCCAAGAAAAATCCCATGCAGCAGTGCTTCTACTGCATCACATTTGGGGTCTGCATGTGTCAACATCAACTCATCCCTAACAGGTAAAATCCACAAACTCAATAAGGGAGAAAACGCATTGGAAAAGCCAGACTCATTGTGAGGAGAGAAGTCTGTGTTGCTGCCCTCCAGAAGTAGCTGTCAAGAACTTAGGGTGCTTTCTTTGGGGCCTTTTCTCATGGGGTATTTACGTCCGTTTAAATTTCTTACAGCCTTGTGATTATATTTAATGAACCATGTTTTGGTCCATTTTTAAACTTAATGGTAAATCTTAAGTAGTTTCCTGCATCGTTATAAATTGTGCAAGTTCCATTTTCTAACACTCTCCGTGGCAACATGGAAAAAATTAGTTTTGTCCATTTTCACATGTATATGCCTCAGGATGGCATTTGGGAAGTCTTTTCTTTCTTTACAATGCCTGCATTTCAAGCCTGTTGGAAAAATCACATTTTTAATGTCAGCAACTGAATGTTATTAACTCTTTCTCTTTGAGTTTGGTCTCTCCACTGTGCTCATCTGGCCTCTGCTCCCAGCCCCGTCAGTCCCATTGATGGATGGGATGAATGCAGGTCAACAAGGTATAAACCCTTACTGCAGAAAGTCAGGACAGGAAAACACATACATATTTTCCACAGGTTTATAACCACCGTTCTACTTTTCAAGGAGCTTGGATACAGAGTCTGTAGGGAGATGATACTGCAAACTTAAAGGATATGCCTCTGGCGGTTCAAATCCACTGGTAGTTACTCAGAAAAAAGCGGGCCGCTCTCTTCCTGTGTGATTTACAGCCTCAGAAACCAAACTGAGTCTCAGCCATACCAGTTCCGGCTCAACAGCAATAAGAGAGTGATTCTGTTGTGGATTCTCAACTGATGTTGGTTTTCCCTTCGTCACAAGGCTCACAGATCCATAGGCTGTGGTTGGAGTGATACTGCGTACACACACAGGGACCAGCCTCAGGATCAAATTCACTCTTGTATGCTTTGAAAAGACAGAAAAGCAAGCAAATAAGGCAAGCAGGAGAAAAATGTAAAGGAAGCAGGGGCAAAAGCAAAGGCGGTGAGACAAAGAGGCAGGCTTTCTGGGTGAGCCTTTTATTCAGTCAGAAATGCCAAACCAGCCATGCGTCCCCTTCCTCCCCCTTTGCTTTTCGTATAAACTTCTAGTGAATTTCTTCTTTTTGCTTCTGTCAACCACGTGCACAGCTCAAGGACGGTGTTCTGTCCTACCCAATCAAGTTGACCAATTGTAGACTGTGTGATACACTCTGGGTTTTCACTGGCTGCGTTTCAGAAGGAAGCCTGTCAGATCTTTCTTCTTAATTCGTTTTAGTCTGGAAGAAACCCGTTCAGCATCATAGTAACAACACAAGGTGTCACTGGTGGCGCCTGCGCCCAGGTGCACTGCCTGAGAATCAAAGCCAGGTCTCACAGGTGTTCTCTGGCTGAACCACCAGTGTCTTATCCCTGCACTGCACGTCCTGCGTGCACAGTGCCCATTTGGACCTTGTCTTAGAGCATTTACTGCCCTGGTCCTAACACCTATAAGGCCTATTATGTTAATGCAAGATGCATCCAATGATAATAAGAACATACAATGTATAAGAACTTTGTAAGTAACCAGTATAAAATAAAAATTTTATTTTAAAAAACAACCACAAAACAAAGCCTACTCTTACCAAATTTGGAATGTAGTTCAAGAAACAAAAGCTACCCCCTCCTACAACCCACCCCCCCAAAAAAAACCCAAACCAGGTACTATTTTGCAACAGGCATCAAAACATTGTTATTATTGCTGTTACTATGTTTAAGGCATTTTAGCATAACTGGTTGTACTTCTTTAATGTCTTTTTTTTTCATAGAAAAGGACACATGTATGTGTAAGTATGTATTATAGGAAGACAAAGATTGACTAACCGATGATATGAACTTTACATATTCTGACTTACATACAGTTTCAACTTGGAGACAGACTTAGGAATGGAACTTACCATAAACTGGGGACTACCTCTGTGTGTGTGTGTGTGTGTGTGTGTGTGTGTGTGTGTGTAATGTTCACACAGCATCCAACTCACTCAACAGCCTGTTTGAAAGAACAGAGCATATATGTGAAATGGCCTGTGGCTGTGTGTGTGTGTGTGTGTGTGTGTGTGTGTGACATGCTTTTCTTCTGGCTGTGTCTGCATTCTGACTTACCAACCACTGCTGCTGGGGGCGAGTGGGCTGTGTTTGTTTGTCTTTTTGGCGCTGCCGCCTGGATTCCTTAGGTGATTCCATTCCCCTTTCTTGCAGGGCATTATGGGAAGGATGCCTACCGAAGTGGAGGGCCCGATCTCCACAACTTCATCTCATCTGGATTTGTCACATTAGGAAGAGGACACAGCAAGGGTACAGTGGAAACCATTTTTTACTAAATACAGAGGTTGCCTAGGGGAAACCAGTCTGAAATGTGAAGACGGTGTGGAGGCCAGAGGAGTGTCCGGGACAGGAGTGAGGGGGGGTTCAGTCCGCCTGTCCTGATGGCATGTGTGGCTTAGCGGGAAATAGACCTCACAGAGACTCCCTTGCTGCTCTGCCCACTGTGGGAAGCAGAAGCAGACTCCTGTGGCTCCTTGAGTGGGGATCCACGGGCCATGTGGTGGGAAAACACTGCCAGTGAGGACAGCAGCATTTGCAAAGTGCTTTTTGCTCCTCTTGGCTGTTACTCCCTTTTCCTTTTGAAAGCAGCACTTTATAAACCGATGTCAATGCTCTGTACTGTGGGTTTCTAAGCCGGCATGCATGTTGAGGGTCACACAGATAGCCCAGCAACCCAAACGTATCTATGTAAACACGAGGTGATGTGGACTTAAGGTAGAGGTTGCGCAGCCCTTCAAACACAAGATGAAAGCTAACATTGCCTTTCCGCTGAGCTGCTTTATGACCTAGCTGACAGCTTGCAGAGCATCTGCACAGGGGTATGGAATCCTCTGTGACTGTGTCTTTTGTTTAAACCGAGTCCTACTAGTGTTGTGAGCATTCTGTCACATCAAGAGTAACTGAATCCCTAACTCTGTTGATTATCTACATAACACCTGTGTATGTTATCGCTCAAATGTGAATTCTCTTGTTGGGATGGTATATCCATGTCTCCCTCCAAAATATGTGTCTGTTTTAAGTGTGAGTGAACAAGGAACTTTACAATATTTTTCTTACCTCCCATGCACCTACTTTTTAAATTCCCTATGTGATGTTTGTTCATCCTATAGAAAACAAAAAATAATCTGTATCTATGTATGTATTTTCTGTTTTGTCTATTTGTGTCTAAATAAAGTTTATTGAGGATACAGGTGGCATTTGTGGCTACTAAGAGTTGCAGAATCAAAACGGGGCCATCTGGGAAAACAGGTTGAACTGTTGGTTAGTTATACCCATATCAACCCAACCTTGGGTTGCCAGCCCCCACGTTGTCCACTGTGTATTAATTATCTCTTTCTGTGAAACAAGTTGCTCTAAAACTTAACCTTCCCAACACATGAGTATTACTTTTTTTAAAATCGTGGTAAACATTTATTACTTTTTTACTCACAGTTTCTGGGAGTCAAGAATTTGGAAATCGCTTCTCTAGGTATGTCTGGGTTGGGGTCAGTCGAACTGCTATCCAGGGCCACAGCATCTGAAAGATTAACTAGGGCCAGAGGACCTGGTTCTAAGATGGGTCACCCACATGGTGCTGGCTGTTGGCAGGAAGCCTCAGTTCCTGTCTTCATGCTCTCCCCATGAACTGCTTAAGCATCTTTATAGCATGGTGCCTGGTTTTCCTGAGAGGGAGTAATGTGAACAAGAGAAAGGACACAGCGCCTTGTATGAACTAGCCCCCGAGGTTCCCCTTCGTGATTTCTGCAGTATCCTCACGGTGGCACAAATTGTCTCCGTACAGTGTGGGAGGGGCTGCACAAAGGTGTGACTCTCAGGAGAGGAGGGTCACTGGGGATGGTATTAGGGGCTTCCCACCCACCCCTGCAACCTATGAAGTGGAGTCACAAGAATGGGTTCTCACTTAACATCCCACCTTTTACCACATCTTTCAAACTGCAATAATTTGCCACCCTTGTCCCTAAGCCCCGTAGCTGCTACAGTGTGAAACACCCAACAATTCAATCAGTAGAACTTTGTGTTCTATTAATATTATAGTTTTCAATTCATGTATTTACTCAATAAATACTTGTGATGTGGGGCAGTATACAAATAGAAGCAAAATCAAACCTGATCTTAGGGAGCTTACATTCTATGGGGGAGGCCAAAAGAACAAATAAATCACTATGTGTTGATTGTGCAATGGTACATATTATGGTAGCAAAGTTACTGTTGTTAGGTGGAATCGAGTGGACTACCACTCATAGTGACCTTGTGAGCAATGTATCAGAACCTCGCCCTATCCTGTGCCGTCCCCGTCATCTCTGATATACTTGAGCCCATTGTTACAGTCACTGTGTTGGTCCATGTTGTTGAAAGTAGTCTTCTCTTTAGCTTACCCTCCACCTTTCCAAGCATGATATCTTTTTCCAAGGACTAGGCCTTCCTATGATTCAGAAAGCTGGGTAATGACTAAAGATGATAGAAGAATTGATGCCTTTGAGTTGTGATGCTGGAATAGAGACTTGAACATACCATGGCTGCCAAAAAAAACAGGTAGGTCTGTCTTGGATAGAATGAAAGCAGGTTTCTCCTTGGAGGCTAGGATTTTGAAACTCCTCCTTAGATAATTTGGATATGTGGCCAGGAGGGACCAATTCTTGGAGGATTCTTGAAGAGTGGAGGGACAGCCCAGGAAGGGAAGACCCCAGATGAGATGGATTGATACAGTAACTAGGGCAATGGGGGTAGCTGTGTCAGAGTCAGTGAGACTGGCCCAGGACAGGGTAGGCTTCAGAGCTATTGAACATTTGATCACTGTGAGTTCCAGGCCACTCAGTGGCACATAACAACAACAGTCCTTCCTAATAATATTCCCAATGTAAGTGAGACAAAGTTTCATCATTCTTGCCTCTACGAAGCACCCTGGTTGCATTTTGTCCAGAAGATGTTTGTTCTTTTTGTTGTCCACTTTTCTCCAACGTCACAGCTCAAAGGCACTGATTCTTCTTCTGTTATCCTTATTCATTATCCAACTTTCAGATGCCTAACAATTAAAAAAAAGTCATGCCTTGAATCAGGTACAGCTTAGTATTTGAACTGATATCATAGTTACTTAGAGCTTTGGAGCAATCATTGACAGCAGGTTTTCCCTATGCAACACATCTTTGAATGTCTTCAATTCTGGTACCAAGTGTGTTCACTGTGGATTTTAGCAAGGTGAAATAATTGTCAACTTAACTCTTTTCTCCATCTATCATAATGTTGCCTATTGGCCTAGTGATGAGAAGTTTTGCTTCCTTGATGTTGAGATGTAATCAGTATTGAAGACTATAGTCACCTATCTTCTCTGGCAGGTGCTTGAAGTCCTCCTTGCTTGCAGCAAGCAAGATTGTGTCATCTGCATAATGCTGCTTATTGATAAGTATTCCTTTGATCCTGATGCCTCATTCTTCTTCACGAAGACAAGTTTATTGAATGATTTGCTCAGCATATAGGTTGAATAGCTATGGAGAAAGGAAATAGGCCTAACCCACACATTTCTTGATTTTAAAACATGATGGCCTATTGGTAAGAAGCTGCACTGAAATCCCAAAGGTATACATCTCAAATCCGCTAGTTGCTCTGCAGGAGAAGGATGGATGGGCAGTCCCCTCCAGTGTGATTAACTGACTCTGAAAACCTGCTGTAGGGTCAGCTATATGCCAGTTCCAACTCGATGGTATGCAACAAGATAAACAGTGTTCCCTTGCTCTGTTTGGACAACAGCTTCTTGGTCTAGGTATAGGTTTCACATGAACACAATTAAGTAGACTGCTTTGCTATGATCCACAAAGTCAAAGTCTTTGCATAGTCAATTAAACACAATTAGATGTCTTTCTGATATTCTCTGCTTTCAGCCAAGACCTGCCTGACATCAGCAGTATTATCTCTGGTGTCACCACCTCTTACAAACCTAGCTTGACATTCTGGCAGTTTTTTGTTGATGTTTTCTTGTTTTAGCCATTTTCAGATAATCTTCAGCAAGATTTTACTTGCATATGTTATTAGTGATAACTTTTTGATAATATCCACACTCAGCCAGACTACTTTTTTTGGGGAATGGGAACAAATATGGATCTCTTCTAGTCAGTTGTCCAGGTAGCTGTCTTCCAGATTTCTTGGCACAGACTAGTGAGCATGTCCAGGGCTACATCTGCTTGTTGAAACATGTCAGGTGGTAGGCCATTGATCCCTGGGGGTAGATGAGTACAAGGGTAAAGAAGTCAGGGAGCTAAAGGGCAGACAGTGCTGAGGAGGACTCTGCTGTGATCATGGAAAGGCTCTTAGGGTGATAACTGAGCAGACACCTGCATCCAAGACCTACCTGTGGTCATCAGGAAGGCCGTGAAGTTGATCCTTCATCTTGGGTCAAGTAATAGGAAGAAGATCATTGTACCTGAAGCAGGAGCGAAGAGAGGGCAGGAAGCCAAGCACAGCCGAGAGCAGATCATCCCATTGATCACATGGTAACATCATGCTGCTATTGCATTAACTCGGCCCCTCATTGCAACTTAAGACACATTCTCTTTCCATACCTGTCGTTTAGGTCACTGTCACTCAAGGCATCCTGAAGACCTTACCTTGCTCATGCTTTGCTCTGGCCATTGCTTTTTATTCCTCATCTTCTTAGTCCCTGTGTTCTTTAGCGTATTTCTCTGTTCTGTGCACGCATGGCCAACTCCCTTCTCCCCATTCATCATCCTTTCCAGACCCTCTCCTCCATTCCCTTCCACACAAGGCCACATGTGTCTCCCCCTCCCAGGAAGTTACCTGTTGAATATTTATTTCACTGTTTAGATAATAGCTAACATTCCACGAGCCAAGATACTGACGTGGAGGAATGGAGCTTTTACTAAGGACTCCTCAGTTCTTGTGAAGGAGACAAGAATGTTTATTGGAACTATTCCAGAGACCCAGGCTGGACAGGGAACTGAGGATTCTATACAAACTAACTTGTTCTTGTTGTTGTTGATTGCCATCAAGTTGAGCATGACTCATAGCAACTCTGTGAGCAAAAGGCCTTCAGCCTTTCCACAACCATCCCCATTTATTAAAGTTCACAGAGTTTCCATGACTCCTAGGGACCCTGTGAACAGGCAGCTTGTACCCTGCCCTATCCTGTGCCATGCTCCCCATCTCTGAAATACTCAAGCCCATTGCTAAAGTCACCATGTCCTTCCATCTCATTGGGGGGGGGTCTTTCTCTCCTTCACTGACTTCTATCTTTCCAA